TTCTTCACCACTCACACTTTGTAAACGATCATGTTTTCCGTACATGTCATACACACGTCTGCGCTTGCGACCTTTGACCAACACAGCAGCATGGCGCAGTTGGAAGCACGGGGCCCATATCCCGAGGTCACTTGATTGAAACAAGTTGCTGCTATGATAAAAATCGGCATGCTTTTCTTTACTGCTCGGTGGGGCCCTCCTTACTGATTTTTTTTCTCTTCCAAGCAAAGGGACCACATGTCATGTCCTGCTCAGACGCAGCTGAAGATGACTCGACAACAGCTTGTCCCTTCCCCTCCTTCGCTCTCAACTACTCAACCAACACATAACTCAACTTCCATCAAGCACAACACCAAGCAGCATGGCGCAGTTGGAAGCGCGCGGGGCCCATATCGAGACAGACGTAGAAAGCTGGATGTTGAACCCCGAGGTCACTTGATCGAAACAAGTTGCTGCTATGGTCTAATACATTTCCTTTTTAAGATCCTCTCGCGACGCCTAATACACCAACGCCAGCTTGAACTTGAAGCGTGTGCCATTGGACCTGCGGTTCACGGACATATCCCCGAGCTGCTGCTATACTAATTTTCTCGTCCTTTTTCCTTTCTCTCTCTCTGCTCGGTTGATGATCTCTTTCTCGTAAAAACCGAGGGATCGAACGCCACGTCTTGTCAATACGCAACTGCACACAACGACGCGATAGCTTCCTGTACATCTGAAACGTTAAACTACTAGTCACGAAGCCGATACTTGTTCCTCAGGAAGTAGCGGGGAAGCAATGTGTCGTACCCTCTTCAGTGCACGAATGGCTCCTTTTGTACATCTCTCTGTGCCCACGCACGGGCCGTCTTTCTCTCGCCAGCTCTGATTAGAATGACAACGCCAGAGTGGAAGCATGTGGACTTGGACATGCGGTTCAATGGACATTTGTCCCACCGTTTGACTCGCTGCTACCATGTCCTACGGTCAAGTGACTGAAAGTTATCTCGACACAAAGTTTTGCAATTTCGACTTGCGGTGATCACAATGGCCCCTACGCTCTTGCTGTTGTCTTGAGCCTCGATTTACTCTTCGGTGCAAAGTGAAGCATGTGATGTTAGACGCTGTCCCTACGTTCAAGCTTCCATGCCCTCAATTCATGGTGGGGTACAATAACAGCAGTATACGACAGATCAGATGCCCATACGATTTACATATGCAGACTACCTCGAAGACACACGTTCATTTCAAGTTATCCGTGCTACAGATTTCCACGACACATTCAAGACCCTCCTCTCATTCTCGTTCTTGTTTTCTAGAGCCTCGATACTGCTAGTTCCATGTCTCGTATGTTCTTGGTTGTTCTTGATGAAGCATGCGAGTGGCTCGATCAAAGATGATAAGTTGCACCTTCCACCATAGCGAATGATCAAGAGATCTATGCGGAAAATTCTCAAGATTCAATGACAGCCCTTGCTCTCTACTCGCCATCAACTCCTCTTCCAAACGTTCCAGCTCCTTCAGTCGCCCTCCCTCGTTATCAATGCATCGCTGTTGCAGTTTCAACATTGTCGACTGAAACAGCTGCGCCCGACCATCTCGCTCCTCTCTCGCTTGATCGTTTCTTTCCATTTCATCTCTATGGAAATCGTCCTCTCGTTTTCGTTCATTGGTTTGGAATTCGGATTCACGTTGCCGCTGAGCCTTATCGAATTCAGATTCGCGCGAACCTTCAGCCTCGTCAAAGAGTTCCTTGCGTTTCTGCTGGACCTTCACAAACTCGGCCTCGCGTTTTGCCTCGTTGATTGTGAATGTGTAATTCCTTTCTTTTCCACCTTTCTGAAAAGCTTCGGCTCTCAATTCCTGCGAACACTCAAACATCTCCTGCATTCTCTTCAAGTCAAAAAAGTGTCCTTGCCGTTTGTGCATGTTGCGTTGATCACTATCTGCAACCTTGGGTACTGGAAGTGCTTTTTGGATGAATGGACCTTTGAAAATCGCACGTGCTGTCTGTGCCTGTTCAGTATCTTTGGAGAAGGCTCCAGTGAGTAGCTCAGACAACTCACAAAACCTTCGCTAGAGCCTTCGCGACTAACCAAACCGAAGTCTCAGTGGGTTTCACATGAAAAGTTTGTGTCAATTCCCACCTGTACGCCTTTCTCATGATACGTTGAGTAATTCGAATACGTCACATGCAAAAGAACAGGTTTGTATTTACCTGCGATTCTGATGATGATAGTATGGGACTTAAATCTTCCAACGTAGAGCCGAGATAATCAAGTCGATCTTCAGTTCGTTGATTAAGTTGGATGGCTTGGTGTTTGTATAACGCCAGAAGCATATCCTCCTGACGCTTGAAGTAAATTTCTTCTAAATCCTCCTCCGCATCGGATTGATATATGATGGTCGTCATCGACAGTTCTAATGCAGTCCAACGCTGATATTCGGCAGTTTGAAAAGCAAGGGAACGTTGGATGTCCCTCCTAAAGCGTTCTTCTTCGCGACCACGGAATTGCTCTATCTGTGGTTTTGTCGACCACTGAGTCATTTTGTGGTCGAAGATAGTGCTGCGTTTCAATTCCCCAGTGTCCCGTGCGGCTTCTGATGCACGAAATCTGCAATCTCTTTCGCTCTCATCCTGCAAGAATGTTTCTTGCCGCTGCTCTTGAGAGCGCATAAAATATGATTGCAATTCATCCTCTACCCCGTC